GCTGTAGTTTCCTCTGCTGATGAGGATATCCAGGAAGGGTAGTGTGTTGTTGTTTTCTTCCTCTCTGGTGAATTGTATTCCTTTGAAGATATTGTTGATAAGTTTCATGTGTTTTTTTTTTGTTGTTCCTTTTTTATTGGGTTTCTAATTTGCTGTAGTTTGGGTTTCTAATTTGCTGTAGTTTGGGTTTCTAATTTGCTGTAGTTTGGGTTTCTAATTTGCTGTAGTTTCCTCTGCTGATGAGGATATCCAGGAAGGGTAGTGTGTTGTTGTTTTCTTCCTCTCTGGTGAATTTTATTCCTTTGAAGATATTGTTGATAAGTTTCATGTGTTTTTTTTTTGTTGTTCCTTTTTTATTATAACAAATAATCTACATACCTGATCCATACTTTGTCCATATATTCATCAGGCATTAGGCCCAAATCAGTGGTACCTAGCTATATTTTACAAGATGGAAAAAAATGTCTTATACTTAAGTTTTATAAAATATATCCTGTTAGCATTATCCTAGCAAATTAAGTTCACATTAAGAATGTGATTAATATATGACATCACATAGTCTTTTAGAATTAGTGTTGAAACAGTATAATTTAAGAGTATAATTTACAAATCAGAACTATTAAAACAAATTTTATTGTGATACTTTCAGTTTGGTTGGATAGGAACAAATGCAACTTGCTTACTGTTACTTCATTGAAGTTGATTTCTATTGCTCTAAAGAGGAGACATGCTAATTTTTATATTGTAAATTTTAATGCATTTTTCCCCCGTCTAATTCTTTTTTTTTTCATTCTATAAATAAGTAGAAGATACATTAATACTTTGTGGGTGTATCTGGCTTTGTTGATGTGTTATGAAAAGCCTTCCAGTTCTGCCTCAGATTTCTATCAAACCCAATATTTACCAGGTAGATGATTAACTCTTATTGCATGAGATGGACAAGAATTTATATGTGAGAGGAGTTACGATAGCAGAATGAGCCCATGAACTGTCTCTATTTAAAAAAATCAAACAAAACTGCCTATTTATTTGGGGAATTTCCTACTGAAAATAGAGCATGGGTTACTGAAGTCTGCTCCTCCCTCCACTTTTACCAATGGGCTTCTCATGGCTTAAAAGGCATTTTCTCCATTGGTAGCCTGAATGGAGCCACCAATAAGATTACTGCATCTCCAACCAAATCCTACTGATTTTTGTGATGTTGTTTCAGATTAACTGTTGTTTACCTGTGTGATAACAATTCAGCAGCAATAGTCTAAAATGCACAGTAATGTAGTGTGTGTAAGGATAAAAATGGGGGTCTTTGGAGGGGCAACAAGAAATACCTTTAATAAAAGCATATTAAAGGGGCCTAGGCAGGTGAATCCAACTTGTTAATGCAAGAATCCAAATTAAAGTGTTACTGACAAATGAACTAGCCTCTACTTGACCACTTCTAATGAAGGGAAGATCACTATCTCTCTGGCATTCCAATTTCTACTACTGAACTACTCTTATTGTTAGAATTCTTTTTTCCAATAGTTAATCAAAATCTGCTTTCCTCAAACCCATTATTCCATATCCATATTCCTCAAACCCATATTCAAGTGTTTGAAGAGTACCATTTAAACTTACTTTCTCAAAGCTAAACAGCCAAGATCCTTCAGTCTGTCTTCACAGGATTTAGTTTTCTAGTCCCTGATGATCCTGGTTACTCTTTTCAGAACCTCTTTTAGTTTACCTGAAGGCTTCAAAGCTTGCCCAGAATTGAGCACAGTTGTAGGGCTAACAATAGTACTTGATATGTGGTATGACCAATACAGAATATTGTGAAATATTATATCCCGTGATTTGAAAACTGTTTTTGTTCTTCCGGCCTAAAATTTTCTTTGGGGCATTTTAAGGAAGCTTTATGATTAAAAGAAAAGCTATTGTTAGTTTTTCTTTTGTTATTGTTAGTACAGTATACAAAAATTCTTGATAAGTCTGTGCTGACGTCTTTTAATTATTTCATGGTTTTCAAGGTGCTCACTTAATAAATAGACTAGGAGCTATTGATTCTGTTGTGCATTTGGGGGGGATATGGGATTTTTTATATCTAATATTTTTGAGACTACTAGGTTTTTTTACATTTCATAAGAGCTTCTGTGCCTTTTTAATGTTGGTATGTTACAGTAATTTTAGATTTGTACATCCTGTGTAATATCTTCTTTTCCAGATTTTTGTTTTAGTTTTTCCAAAGTAGTATTCAGTTTCCCTCAAATGGTAACATAAAATAATAACTGAGTATAAATAGAAACTGGCTTCTGCTTTGTAGTAGTTTCTTGGTTGTAGTATGTTCATAGCGCCATTAGAAATGAAGAGTTGTATATGAGAGGTAGCTCAAAGTCTTTATAGATTTTAAAGTAAATGCAGCACTGCAAGTATTGTACAGTCAGGTCCAGAAATATTGGGACATTGACACAATTCTAACATCTTTGGCTCTAT